CTCATTATTAACTGATGACGAGTTTTTATTTTGGCTTATAATCATAATTTTGGTGCTATGACACTAAAATTATAATTTCATTGTTTTGGTTCAGACTGTAGATCTTTAATAATCCACAGAAACCTAAAAATTGTGTTCAAAATCTTGCCTATCTTTTTTATTTTTATTTTGTTTTAATCTAGGTGATTTTTTTTCACTGAATTTAAATTTTTGTTTCAAAAATCGATTAAAGAACAATAGAACACTTAATGTATAAATTATGATGAAATGGCGTTCATTAGGTTTTAACTGTAAATATATTGATATGATAGGTTTTGTAATAATTTTACCATTAAAATTAATGAATAGTTATTAAAAATGTGTATAGTAATTAATTAATTTAGGAAATATCTGAAACCTCTACAACCTAATAAGACTGTCTATTAGATATATTATAATATGTTATTATTTAAAGCGACACTTTTTCTTTGCTTAAACATCAAGTAATAAAAAAAGAATGAACGAATTCGGAAAAAAAAAATATGTATAGAGGTTTGTAAAATTAAGTAAATAGAATTGTTTCCTAAACAAGAGAATACATTCAGAAATATTATTTCAATAATTGCGTTCTTATATAATTATTATTATTATCATTTACTTAATTATTAATAATTAATAATCATTTTCATTCTTTAACAAAAATCAACCTTCAGAGAGGCCAAGATTGTGAAAGATTCCCTCTATACACACTGCTACGCGACTAGGAGGCGGCAATGGGGCCAGATGGCTTGGAGGACAGAATTTTGGTAGCGGAAAATTTTAAACAACATTTTATTTTAAGCAAAAGTAAATAAAAAATTGGACTTAATTCATTCAATCCAATTACTTAACTTTATATAATGATATTTAATTCGGCATATATGAACCTTTCAGTTGACAGAATGATTAACTTCAATTTTAGTAAAGTCATATTAATGATATTTTTAGTTGGAAAATTTATAATATCTGTACGGACAGTAAGTTGATTTCATTTAGGTGATTGGAGTGTTGAAATATAGAATTGTGAAAAAAAGATATACATTTTCTCACTAGAAATATCACTAAAATTAATAATCAAAAATGTTGAAAATGGAGTTAGTCATTTTGTCAACTTAAAGGAACATATTATCAAAAACATTGAAATTATGAAATATTAAAGTTTTTTTCGGAGAAAGGATTAAAGAAGATGGTGAAATTCATTATCTATCCCACTTTTAAGAATACACTAGTTTTCTACCCTGTCTAGCAATATCTGTTACTTTTATAATGATCGCTAATTCTAGTAAAAAAAAGTTTATAGCTATACTTTAAAATATTTGTAGGAAGATGAAAAATTATGTTTGAGATAATTAAGGTGTAGTGGAATCGAGTAAGATTTTAACATTGAAACAATTTTTTTTTTTTCGTGAATTTTAGAATTATCTTCTCCTATAAATGAAGATTTTCCTCGTAGTGTTTCTCATTATTTTTTTCTTAATTATTAATTATTCGTCGAAAAAAATACTAAATATCTTTTGAGTACTTCAATTACCTTGCCCGATTTATTTTTTTCCTTTTTTACTATTGTCTAACAGACTCATCAGTATGCTGTGTGAACTAGGAACTCATCACAATTGAGCATCCATTCGGAAAAAGTTTACTTTTTTTTTATAATTATCTTTTAACTAAATAAAAACTCTTGAATATTATATCAATGAATATGTGTAACACTAAAAAATAGTTTTTAAAAAATGTGACAAATATTTAATTTTTGACAAATTAATTGGTGCCACATCAAAAAAAGAAAGTAAAAATAAATATTGCTCTGATGATGGGAAAATTGTCCCGAAACGTAAGAGACAACAAACATAATTTTTAAAAAAGTGATGAAAATTGGAAGTTTTATTGCCTAAAATATGAAAAAATTTAATATTATTTTGTTATTATTATTTTTAAATTTTAAAGTCAATGGCATTTTTAAAAAATAGTTTGTAAAAATTGAGTAATGCACTGTAGTTCAAGTGTTGCAAAGGCTTGGCGAAGTGAAAACGAGTTCAAGATTTATCTCTAGATATATTTGAAGGTCGGTTACGTACCTTTGCTCTCATGTGTCAGCAATATTGCTAAACAAAACTGAAATTTTTATAACTAGTATTTTATGGTTTTGTAGTTTAAAAATTAATTTAATTAAGTAAGTAAGCGAGTTTTCTAAGTGTATACAGAAGACTATTCAGTTTTTAAAATTTTTTTTTTGCTCTTGTCACTGTTTTATATTATTTTAACACTGGACGATTTTAAGTTATAAAGATTCATTATCTTTCCAACTGATTGGTACCTATTTGTTGAATAAAAATATATATATCTACTCCATCTGACTTATAAAAGTATATTAATTTTTTTGGCTGTTATTTGAGTTAATAAAACAAAATTGTTCTTTAAGTAAGAAATCTAAGTATACAATTTAATTAAGGTCATTGAAGTTTCCGTTGATTTAAATTTAAGTTTCCGTTAGTTTAAATGACAACATAAAGAAAATTAGAGAATGATAGTCGAGAAAAATAAAATTGTTTTTATTCAAAATGTTAAACGTTTTCTTGAACCGAATTTAAAATTAGCGTGACCATGTGTTTTTTTCAACAAATTACGTCTCAGACATTCGAGGTCTTGATCTTGAGAATTTGAAATAAAAAATTAATCGAGCACATCAAAAAGTTGTCAAACTGTTTAAAAAAATCCTTCCTTCTTCCTATAACGGAAATAAACTTGTTTATAGCTTATTTATTTTCTAAAATTGAATTTCAGGAATATAAATATTTTATTTTGACAAAAAAATATTAGGCTTCTCTTAAGATTTTTTATTGATTATTATTATATAAAAAAAATTACATTAGATTGTACCGATTTAGTAAAAAATTCTGTAGATAATTCTTCAAGAAGTTTATTTATTACATTTCGGAATATTAATGATAATTATTACCCCTATTCGGAGCAATTGAGCTCTAAAAAATACACAAAATTCTGTATGAATTTAGATTCAAATTTTAAAGATTTATATTTAATTAAATTATACATTTCAATTATACCTGCTTATTAAATATACATAACAGTAATATCTTTACTAGATAAAAAAATAAAACGTTATGGATCTGATACACCATGGAACAAAAATATATCTTTATTTTCTTTTCTTTGATAAGTTTCTTTGTCCTATTTGTATAATATTAACCTATTTCTTAAATAAAAATAATGTAAATAATGATCGGTTATTTGCTCATTTGATGTTAGCTGAGTAATTGATTTATTTTTTTTATTTTTATTTTGTTTTTTTGTAGAGAAGATCGTTTAGTCCATGAAATTTAATTAATAGGTATAATTATTATTTTTTTTTGTTTACATATAAATTAAATAATTTTTTGTTTGCTCGTAAACAAATTACAAACAAAAATACAGCCTATTAACTCAAGAAAAAGAGCCAGGATCCCTGTGTTGAAATCACTCCTTGTGAAACTAATCCTTCAAAAGCGAAACATTACTGTTTACAAAGACGTTTTCAATAGTGTTTACAAACGATTGTAACTTTTGTTTTTAGTTGAATTTTTATTAATAACAGGTGTATACAAATATTAAATATCTAATTTAATTTTTTTTTAATCCGTCTGGTTTTATAAGAAATCAAGTGTCACATAATATCTTAAATATTATTTGTATAATATTACATGTAATTTTAAATAATTACAAAAAAATATTAGTGCCTAATTAGCATCCTTTATTTACCGGATTCTCTTCGAGTAGTTATTCAAATTGCCATTGAATAAAAGAAAAATATCTTCTATTTGTTTTTTTAACTGAAATTATCTAGCTATTAAATTTACCGATAACACCTCTAAAATCTCGATTTAAACATGGATATTTGATGACGAATTATAATTTGTTTCGTCATCAGATATTAACGTTTCATAAGAACCGTGGGTGAAGAAGGTATTGAAATGTTTTATTAATGCTTGTAATCAAATTTAGTATTTCAAAAACTGTTATAACCTCAGTGCAAACTGGGTGTTCTTCAGAAAGAGAATTCCCTGTAACTGATGCTTCAAAAAGCATTTAAGAAATGCTTGAATGATCCATTTGTTAGTGCTAAAGAAATGAATAACGATGAATTCTATTTTATTTTTTTTTAATTGTTTCATAGAATTACAATGGGTTAGTCGATATAAATACATTTATCAACATGCATGACATTATTAAGAGCTATTTTTTTAAATTACAAAATAGTAAGGTAAACAAATATCCGGTACTAATCCTTCAATCTGCAATACTTAATTAGTATCCTCAATCTATACTAAACATATATCCCGGTGTTATTAAATATATTAATTTCTATAAATAGTACATACATCTAAATAAATGAATAAAAATTATCCTAAGTATTTTTTAAAACAATAGTAATACTAAACCGTAATGATATGGCGAATTTTATATTTATTTACGAATTTGCTTACAGCATTTCAACTTAAAGTAGTAAGAAGAAGAAATTTCCATTATTATAGTCTATCGCTATTTACCTCCACTTACCAGGATATCAGAAGTAAGGGAGAACATATGTTACGAACAGGCGTTGTGCAGCGATGCATATTGTTCCACTGTTAGTTCTGTTATCCTGATAACGCGGGCTTTTAATGAGCAAAGTGAACACTTATGTTTACATTGCTCTATCAAATATAATTCATGCAAATGAGGTCTCACATTACAACAGCCTTTATCAGTGCTATATCGAATTGATAGGTAGTAGAAAAGATCTTATCTCTTCTATTAGCCACCTTCTTATTAGGAAATTTAATATAATTCATTGTAAAAATGCAGACTTAATAACCTATATTTTAAAAACATTCTCCTGCCTCTTTATACATTTGAGGATTCTCCTTACCTCGCTGGAACACTGACCTTCCCCTTAGACGACACAACAACAACACTATAGACACTAAGAAGAGCACTACTCACGGGGGATGGAGTTGGCGTGGTGGCCCAACTCCTTGGTCTCCACGGCTCCGCCGGTCATCCTCAGCGCAAGAGACGTGAGGTCGCCGATCAAGAAGAGCGCTAGGGCTACAAGAAGCACGGCCCTGGCAACGGCGATCGCTTGCATCCTTGGCGGCTCGCAAACAGTCAGTGAAAGCTCCCGCGGCCTCCCCACCTGCCGCTCGCCCGCCCCACCAGCCTTCTTAATCCTCAGCCTTCCTCCTTGTATTTACATTTCCTCCGCTGTCACCGGGTCACTTCTTCCGGTCTGGCGCTTCCTTTTACTTCCGTTTATGGACCAATGGCTACTATCCGTGGGAAACAGCGTCGATCATACGTGATGTTTAACGTAGATGGGTGGTCTATTGACCAATTTGATGAAGCTCAACTTTTAAGAATGTTTTTGCGAATTTTGAAATTGTTATTTAGGGCTTAAAGGCGCAAAACCCCGAGGCCATCAACAGCTATCTAATCTTCATTTCAATAATCTCAACAATAAATTGTTAAGTAAATTAAAAACTAAAAAATCTGGTGTGTCTACTCACACGACTTCCCTCAAAACTAAAAAATCTGGTGTGTCTACTCACACGGCTTTCCTCAAAACTAATAAAAAAATAATAAGTATTACTTTCCTGAAAATAGATTAAAGAAAAGATTTGATTACAACTTCTTTGATAAATTAAAGCAATGTAAACCGAATCATAGAAGATCAATTTAAACAATTCAATACACTCTAATATTGCCAATCAAAAACTTTTTTTTCGTAGCCCAATTTTGTCAGACAATAATTTCTGTTAAAAGTAGAGGGGAATATGAAACTTGTGTAATGGTGCCCGAGTTTTTTTTACATTGAACATGTTTGACATTTTGAAATTGAATAGCTATGACATCGTTAATAGTAGTTCGAAATTTTTATTAAGTTTTGTAGAGAATTTCATCACCTTAAAAGAAAAAAAAAAGATCTGTAGTCAGATCCTACAAAATAAATAAAGAAGCAACAAAATCGGTCTACTAGTTCTCGAGATAATTTTGGCACAGACAGACCAATGGCTGAAAATGTGTATTTCGGACGAAAATTTGACCCGATCGCAATGCTTTCCCAGTATAGGTAGGAAAGCAAAAAAAAATCAAATTTAAATATTGTTCAACAAATCGATAGCTACAAGAAAATTTGTCACCGATTTTATTTTAACTTTATCATAATTTAAAACTATCGATAATTTTGTTACGAGTTACAATTTGGATAGAATCAATACGAAATAAAAACACTCTTAAAGAATGCGGCCTGTGAGAGTACAGTACCAATGCTGCCTTTTTGATGCAGGCTGTTTGCTTACAAATAGGAATGTGTCAGGTTTGTGTGTCCTATTCTCAGTCTCGTTAAGGCAACTTCTTCTCTACGAATAGGGCGGTTCGAGGTGGACGATGGTTTCACTGATATTTTTATTTTCTTCAATCTGCTCGGTGGGCTCTCACTCAACATGGATTACCAACCAAGAACTATTTCTTTTTTGAGGAGAAGTCGTGTGTTATGTGGTGTTAATATGGGAGTGCCCCGGCCTGGGAGAGTGAGTGCTTGTTTGGCTGCCTCATTTCCAGCTCATTTCCAGTGATTACCAAGTAGCAGGTCAGGATACCCAGAAAAAATATATCGACTTTTTCAAATTTTCAAGCATGTTTTAATAAGCATGAAATTTTGTTTTGAACTTGTATATCGATAAAAATAAACAAACAAACAAAAAGTGCACTAAAGTGACTCAATTACTTTTATATATCAAATATAGTGGCAAGAAGCTCACGATTTTCTGATTTCACAAAGGCAATGTTCTTGGATGTTTTTGGTGATATAAGGTGTTCAATTGTCAGTTGCTATAAACGTTTTGCTATAAACCGACGATATGCATTGATACAGTAAATATATGCTCTAGTTAAACGAGAGAACTGTATAAAAATGCGTATCAGGACTTAAATTTTATTGCTTGTCTAGTACAATTTTTGAAAACATGAAAAGATTCCAAATAACTACAATATATATTAAAATATTTATTTTATTTCAATTTAAATCATGTTAAATTTTGCAAAGCTATGTTCAATTTTGTTTGAAACTCCGACAACTGGTCAATAGCGAGGGGTGTACATTTCAAGAAGGAACAACGATCACTAGATAAGAATCACAAATACAGCGGTTTACATATAAGGCGTTACGTATCTTAATGACAATTTATAGAAACCAATTATAATCACCTGTTGTTTTTTTAATATTTCATCTTGTCTTTTCTTTGAGACTAGTTCATTTTGTTTTTGTTTTTTTCTTAATATGTATTTCTTGTAATTTTAAAATGGGTCTGAGATGTTATATATTAATAGTTGCTATTTTTCATTTCAATTTTCAATCATTTCAACCGTTCGTCCGAATTCAGAGATAGCGAATATTCTAATAGTCATGTATTGTAAATAGTATTTTAAAGATCAATATTTAATTAAAATTAATTCTGCTAGAATAATTGTTATCAATATTAAATTTTATTAGTATAGATGGGTAACAGTCTGAAATTCTCCATCGTCTATTGTTTTTCAACTATCGAAACATATAGTAAAAACAAAAGTGGAGCAATCGATAATTTTTCGATATCACAATTTACTTCTTTTTTTCACTATTTTAACAACTTCTGAGATGTTTTCTCTGTAAAATTATGAGAAAATAACTAAGTTTTGAGATTTCCAAGTAATGATAATAGTTTTGAGAAAAGATTTTCTATTACTGAGTTGCAATGAATCCATAATGATAAATGGTCAAAAATCAAATATACTATCCATTATAAGTAATGTTGGGAACAACAACTGTCCCAAATAAATATTTAATATCAGTGATTTGTTTTCGTTTATTGAAAATAAGTAGGCATTATTTTGCTAATTTTCAATAAAACAATCTAAAAATATTCGAGTCCTATTTGTCCTAATTTAAATTTAAATGACAGTTTGGACCATCTCATATGCCCCAGTATTGGGTAAGTCTAACAAAAGATAAGTTTGATCAATAACTGATAAATTATTCTCTTTTTGGTTTATTTTCAATTCATGAACCATTGTGATCGAACAAAAAATTCAACAACTCAAGCCCTCTCCCTCAGAATTTGAGGTTCTACGTTTCAGGATACATAGAATTCGAAAAACGAATAAAAATTGTTTTGTCCGTCCACCGTCTCCGGTCCATTTTCTCCGAAAGTACTACTGGACCATTTTTTTTTTTTTAATTTGGCTTTAAAATCAGAGGTCATCCGAGGATGATCCTCCTTAATCAACATTTATATCCGTCTTTTTCTTTCAAGATGGAGACCGAAAAACCTGCGTTGCTATATACTGTAGGGCCTAAACGAATGTACCGATTTCAATGAAACTTTGCTAAAGTCTTATTCTGGATGCCCTTTAAATTTATCTTAACATACTTTAACGAAAAAGAGCTGGAATGATTTCGAGGGATGGTAAAATTAGATTCCGAATAAATAAAAAAATATACACTTCTTGTTGAAGTATTTTATATAGATACATTTCTGGTTAAATAAATGTTTATTTAAAAAATTACGGAATTTCATAAAAAAAAAAAAAAAAAAAAATCGTTAAAATCGGACAATCAGGAGCAAATATATGGTCTCTAGATGTTTTTTTATGTGTTATACTGCAAAGATTATATCCTTTGTTTTGGTTTTTGTTTTTTGAATTTGTTACTCAAGTAATGCTAATTATTTTAGCATATTACTAATGATTTAAAAAAAAAAAAACGCTGCAAATTATTTTACAATGGTTTATTATTTCCAAACAATTATACATCTAAAGTAACATTACCTTCATAGTTACAAAGAAAAATAAATAAAAGGTGATTCAAATTATTGGACTAAACTTATGTTTTTTTAATCATTAGTAATATTCTAAAAAAAAATAGCATTACTTCAGTAACACATTTAAAATTTAAAAACCAAACAAAGGATATAACATTTCGAGTAGAACATATTTAAAAAACCGGAGACCATATCTTTGCTCCTAATTGTCCGATTTTAACATTTTTTGGGGAGGGTTTTTAGGAAATTTCGTAAACTTTTAAAAAACCATTTCGAGTTATTTGGAATTTAATTTTACCATCCCTCGTAACTTTTTTCCAGCTTCTTTAATATGCACTTCTTGTTGAAGTATGTTATATAGATAAATTTAAAAGGCGTAGAGAAAATGACTTTAGCGAAGTTTCATTGAAATCGTTACATTCGTTTAGGAGCTACAGTCTATAGCAACGCAGATTTTTCGGCCGACATTTTTAAAATAAAAGGCGGATAATAATGTCGATCAAGGAGGATCATCCTCGGGTGACCTCTGATTTTATAACCAAATTTGAAAAAAATTGTTCCAGTAGTTTCGGAGAAAATGCGCGGACGGCGGACGGACAAAAAAATTGTATTTGTGTTTTTCGAATTCTACGCTTCCTGAAACGTGAAACCTCAAATTTTGAGAGGGGGTTAAGTGTTTGATTTTTTTGTTCGATCACAATGGTTGATTATTGAAAATAATAAACTAAAATGTTTAGTCCAATAATTGGAATCACTTTTTATTTCATTTTGTTTGTAATTGGGGAGGTAATTTTACTTTAGACGTATAATTGCTTAAAAGTAATAAACCATTGTGAAATCATTTGCAGCTTTTTTTTTTTTTTTTTGCTTTGGTATATAAACATGTTGCGGAGAATAAATAAATTATAATAAAGAAAGGTCAAGAACATGAAATAACTAAAAAAATAAATAGATGTTATTTGTCGCAATAAAAACATTTAACAGAATATTGTTTTTTGGTTGCAAATAACGTGAAAATAAACTGTTTTTTCATAGCCTCTTATTTGTTTTTCTGACAAGGTTCAAGATCTTGGATGAATTAAAAATGAAAATGAAGGTTCAAAAAATGCACTTTTTTTTCTGACCGTCATCCGTGACTTTTCACTGTGATTACTGTGCGAATTTTTTAGGTTTTTCCATCACCCTCGTCACATGTCATTTCAGGATAATTCTTGAAATTCGGCATTACCTTGCACCATTTTTTTTTTTTGTAGCGTTTTTAACTACGGCAAGTCACACATTTAAGAGGTTTAGTATATTTTTCTAGGTGCAGTGAACCTGTGTTATCATTGAAAGTCTTATAGATTACATACGGTACGCACTTCTCCAGACATTAATAGAAAGTGGAATTCAGCTAGACACTCATGTTCTCTCGAACGGGCGACAATGGAACGAAGAGATTTCCGGAAGGTTGGAGTGAGAGCGGATTCGAGGCTGCCCAATGTAAGGATCTGCGCTTTCGCAATTTTCAGATACTGTTCACTGCTAACAAGACTCCATGGTTTTCTCATACGCAACACGCTTTGATGCCTGAGGTCCGGAGTGAATTATTTATTAGAAAACGTCCTTGAGCTCAGCCAATTCTTTTGAAATTGAAAATTTATGATATGGTGTAACACGCCGCTTATGACGTTTCTTTATCCTTCGCTAATCATCTTAGAATAAATCAAAAACATAGAATATGGCCAAAAAATCTAGAGATATGTATGTCTTAGCCATCTCTTCGCCTATCTTATCTTTAATAAATACTGAAATTTTTCTTATGAGATGTTGATTTATTACTAGTTTATTGAATGAGAAATTAGTATTTTATGTAAATTAACAAATAGTATTTCAAGATTACAATTCTGTGTACAGGCCAGCATGAAAAATGATTAAATTAATTATTTTAGAAAATCTTCTTTCGAAAGAAGAAATATTTTAAGGTCTATGGTTAGTGCTTTCAGAAAAAAATCTACACAAGAAACCTTTTTTGAAGTATTTATATTATTGTCAAGGAGAAAATCACGTCTGAGCAAAAGAATGCGTACATTGATAAACATGGTATTGGAAAGTAACTAAATATACATAGATAAAGATGATATCAGCCCATCTATGTATCAACTCTCACAATCCCAGAATATTATATTTAATCGAATTAACCGCAGTAATCCTAACGCCTAGGTAAAACCATTATAACCTCATATGACTATAGTATATATAAATACTCTCATTCCATGTGTTTATAGACTTATAAATTTTACAAATATTATTTTCCAGTACTTGAATACCTTCAGTGCTCGAACCACGCCCCGATGATGACCCACATGTATGGGTTGAAACGTCGGCACTAATAAAAACTTCATAATGACTGCGTCTTGAATATTTATTACCCATGATATGTAGAACAGTTGATTAACTACCTTCAATAATTTATTTTACTATTTTCTATTTTAATAGAATTTGGTAATATGGATATTAGACCGTTTTTTCATTATTCCCCAAGTTCCTTACAAGTTAGGCTAAATTGAATAAGTTTTTTTTTAAATGTTGACTTATCATGAAAGATGTGTTAATAAAGTATTTTTATGAATATGATAAAATTTTAAGCAAAAATCTGATTAAGGATAGTATGTAATATGGCCGTCACATAGGTATGACTATGAAAACAGACATGGTACTAAATTTGTTAATGTCTAAAACATAAAACTTCTTTCGAATTGTCAATTCTGAGGTAAAAAACAAATTTAACCTTTGCATGATTATTAAGCTTCCCTTCGGTTGTGAGGAAGCTTTGTATGTTTAGTGATTGCAATATTTTTATTTGACGCGATATTTTCCAATTTTATCCCTCTCTTCAGGAACTCAAATAAATTCCTTTAAGCACTAGTATTTTTACTTGAAGGTATACAAAAATTATCTTTAACAGTTTTATGATCGCCCTGTACTATAATTTATTAAGTTTTTGATTATTTCTAAATTCCTAAATTGAAAACAAGTACTAAAAAATATATGCTTGATTAAAGAGCCGAAAAAATGCAAATGTCAAACTTTTATTTTCAATTATTTAACTGTTTATTATTTTATTGACATTTTTAAATTCATACTAAAATGTATTTTTGTCCGATATTAATACAATTTCAAATTAAAATTAATGTGCCATAACAAATTAAAGTACTTCATTATCAATTTAACGTAAAATGGAATGAGATTAATTCTAATAAAAAAAATGAAATATGATCATACAAAAAGTTTAATATACAAAAATAAAAAAAAATCGAATACATTTTGAACTGACCAAAAGACTATTATAATTTATTTAATTAAATTTATGCAATGCAAGACTGGAGGTGAATTGTTACCTATGTAAGAAACGTTGGTTTTTTAATAAACAACTTTTCAGTTTTTCATTACCTTGGGTGATCAGTAATCAAAAAAATATTAGTCAACAATCAACAATTTTCTACGCATGTTGATAACCAACATGGTAATTAGTTAGGATATGTAAGCAATTATACTTTAATTATGAGCTATAGTATAATTATGTTGTTGTCAGTCTCTACTTTACAAATTATTATTAAGAATTATCTACTGTTTTACTATATTACTAATTATAGGCAGTTACAATATCTCCCAATTACTAATTATAAAAATTCTTCGTTTTACGTAATGGAGAAGAATAGGTTAATTACATAATAAGAAGGTAAGGAAGCTGGTAGGTATTAAATATGAATACTTCTACGAAGTGAAGATGTCGATAATTAATACTGAAAAATTAATTAATCCCATACTTAATATTTTTCGATCGAAATGTGAAAAATAAATTACATTTATGTATTATAACGAAATAAACTTTCTCAAGAAAGTATTTGACCTAGAACGGTGAAACCGATGCCATCTTTTTCAATTGTTTATGCTCTTCATTTTGCCCTACAACATGACTATATTCTAAAAATACAATATTTTTCCAGAAAGACGCATAATTTATTTCTGAATTTTGAAAAAAAACCTTTAAATTTTTTTAAAAATATAATATGTTATTCTAACATATGGTGGCTAAGGCCATGTGGAGAAACAACGAGTTCACAAGATAAAAAATGTTGACTTACAATAGGTACACTAAAACCGACGTCAAGTCCATCACTGTTAAATAACATATTTTTTTGAAACTTAAATCTATGCATATATATTTTTATTTAAATGCTGCGTACATGTAAATTTATTAAAATAAGTACAAAAACTTGAATACAATAATTACAAATCACTGTTCAAGTGTCTCTTATTTTTTAGTTTATTTTGTAAAATGATGGTTAGTTAATTTATTTCTTCACTGGGTAGTGTATATGTCGTCCCAGTTGCAGTCCTTGGGTCAACCTTTTTCAGTAGTCTTAATTTGTTATTTTATTTGATTCATTGTTTTTTTTTAAGAAATAATTTCGTTTTTGGTTTCAATTTTTTTGTATTTAGTAAAAATAATAAAAAATATTTATTCTTTTTAAAAATTAGGTTCACATTAAATTATAATATACAGGGTGTCTCAGTTCTTAATAGCCCAATATCTGTGGTGAGGGGGGGAGGGAGAGTTGTGATGACCCTAGACAAAATTTCCAACAAAAAAGTTCATTTGAGGCAATGGTCGATTACAAACGGAACAGGAGTTAAGACCAATTGTTACAAGCAACAAAACAATTGTTGAAGATAATAAAATTCTAAGTATACCGTCGTAAAGTAGACAACATTTTTTTGATAAAATGTTGATTAAATTTACTAGGGTCAATAGTAAAAGGGACTTGAAGGAGATCTAATACGGTCGCTGCAAAGAGATATGCTGCTCGTGTATGAGTTTATTTTAGGTTCCCTATGCTATATAATAAGCCAACTATAAGATAGTTGTGTGATACGTGTACTGCACCAGATTTTTAAATATTATTTTTGTACATTTATAATAATATAAGGGAATCGACTTGAAACCCCAGTGCGATGACCTAAAAAAATTAAATAAATATTTTTGTAAACATAAAAATAAAATCTTTATAGACTTTTAGAATCAGGTGAAAATTTATATTATTTTATTGGACTCTTTCTGCTTCCACGTTAATAGTTTAGTGAAAGTTTGCAGTCTTGAGACGACTTACGAAAATACAATATTTTGTTTACTGTTAAAACACTCTAGTTTTCATTTTTCTTCAGCAATCAACAATGGATAAGGAGTTTTTTTTCTGACCCTCCGGAAACTTTATTTACAAGCGAATTATAATGTACAGTATAGGATAAGTATATACATGGATAGGAACCTTTCTTTACCCGGAGGTATTTTAAGGATGGAAGGATTGGGACTGCTGTGTGCATTTTAGGCACTTGTGGCAAGAAGCCTTATATTTTTATTTGAGCAGGGAGAGAAGGGGTTGTTAAAAAAATAGCTGATTTAAAAAAAATACACTACCTCTCTTATTACCGAGAAGAAAGGCTTTGTTTCCTTGGTTCATTCTAGCCAATTTTTTGTTGCTGGCCTTACTGATAAGAATTTCCAAGCTAAAGTTATATTATTGGTATTTAAAAATTAAATAGTTTCTCACCACAAATCTTAATAGAATAAAGGCTAAGAAAAATATTAAAAATAATATAAAAACATACCTATTATTTGATTTCTTAAAACACCGTGAAAACGTTTTTACTAAATTATGCATTTATTAATCTTATCAACAAACTAATCGAATATCTGATGCAAATAATAAGTAAATAATACTAGTATAGTAGGTACTCAAGCGGCAGTGAATTTCTTGCCATCAGTAGGAAAGGATAGTTTTGACAAAGAGCCTACATCAAATGCAGGATTAATCTACAAGAACAGCAAAGGAAGTGAGTGGGGCACCATTACAGATGTTTACCGAAGACATGGAGCACAAACAGGGTTGGGCAGAGCTGGCAATTAGCACAACAGAGGGCTGAGGATCGAGCCTCGCCTGGGCAAACAGTCGCCAAGAGTGGCTCAGCCGCTGAAACAATAGCAAGGCAGGGAGGGCAATGTCACTCACACTTTCAGATGCAAATTAATTTGGGGGAGCAATCCGCTCTGATTTACAAGTGCCACTTCAGCCATTCAACTTTCGGGTTTCTGTTTTTGATTCTTGTCCAGAGCCCTCTGTGTACCTATCCTGACTAAATAAATTGGTGATTATACAATTAGCTGGAGATCCAACTTGTATCTTTTAACAGCTAATTGCTTATAAAAAGATAAATTAAAATAAACTGTGTTAAATTGTTCCACTTCAAAGATAACTAAAGATTTTTGATCATATTTTTAATTTATTGGTAACTAAATATATCGTCTTACATTTTTGTAAATTTATAGATACGTAAAAACAAAAATATAATAAGTGTATGAAAGTAACACAATAATTTTATCTATCTAGTATAGTTACACTATGAGCACAATTTTACAGATAGAAAATTCATCAAAGAGGGGTGATTCATTTTTTTGAAATGTTACTTATAATATATTTTTGCTAAGAAACTAACGATATTCAAGTGTATTTTATTCCCGTTTT